CAGTTCACAAGTTACAAGCATGCAAGTAGTTTGATTTCCCTAGCCAGCTTGGGTATTGCAGTGGCTGATTAGACAGCAATGGCCATGCACCACATTAACCCAAATCAACCCTGGACCAAGAACAACATTGGTCGTTGGTCCAATTATTAACGATGCCCCTGTAAAATCATGTATATATTTGTATGTACATATAAATAGATAAACAAATGAATCAATATATATATATTCTATGTACAGTTATGTAAAATCATATAGACATATATTTCACACCATGCATACATGTACATAATGACAAACGCACAAACACAGTATATATATATATATATTTATTTATTTTTATTTATACACAAAAGCCCCAGGTGGGATGGCGCGGATAGTGGCTTCCAACCTCCTGGGCAGCCTGTTGGAGCCCCAGCATCAAGGTTGGTGGGGTCCAGTCAACTACCTGTGTGCTATGGAGATGATTTGCCAATTAATGGGATTTTATGGAATTTTAATGGGATTCAATGGGATCTTATAGTGATTCAATGGGATATTAATGATATACCCGCTGGTAATTTAACAATTTTAACATAGCTATGGAAAATCACCATTTTTAATGGGAAAATCAACTATAAATGGCCATGTTCAATAGCTATGTTAGTTTACCGGAGGGTAATATAACGTGTTTTTTTCCCATTGTTATGGTAGTTTACCAGAGGGTAAGTTGATGCGTTAAAAACAAAAACAAGAACGGTTGGGGGAGTTGGCAATTCTAGAAGCTATAATGACGTATAATGGGGGCTAGAAACCAACTTATAACTGTGCCCACCTTGTATGATGAAAGGATACCAAGCAATACCAAACAATTCCAGACAATACCAGGCAATACCAAAGGCCCAATTTCCAAGGAAAAAATGCCGAACAATTGGTTTTGCAAATATCTTGAAAGGAGATTCCGTTGATTTGTTACTGTACCATTTGGAGGTCTGAAATCAGTAAATCTAGCCAACTATCGGAAGAGCGTACCATGGCTTACAATAATGGATGGATGTCCATTGCTTATGTGTCAATCTTATGTGCCTACACAGATGAGAAACCAGATGTTTCTGTCCTCACATCACTCTTCCTCGCACAAACATGAATATACTGTAATGTTGACTTCACTCTGTGTCTACCAAAAAACAAGTGTATGCATATATATATATATATGTGCGGCCTTGGCTCTTCTTGGAGATGGCGATGGAGAGAGAGAGAGAGAGAGGGATATATATATATATATGCATATATACATCGTTCTCTGTATGCATACAAATTTTACGCACCTATTGTTATTCACTTATTTACTCATTTGTTATTTTTTTAATATACAAGTTTAGGCATACATATACACATACATGTACCTACATTTACATTCATTATATTACATTATATTACATTATATTACATTATTACATTACGTTACATCATGGCCTGGGCCATATACACATACATTCATGTATACATATGTAAACAATTCTGTATCAATATATGTTGCTTCAACCATCCCCATGTCTCATGGGCGTGGCTCAGGTCACCAACTGGACCCGGTTGTCTCAGCTCATGGAGATGGACGAGTCACCTGGATGCAGTTGGGGGTTCTACCACAACCATGGTAGATATGTGAAATGACTTGTGAACTATGGTTAAACCATGGTAGAAAAACATGGTGCCGGGCATCTGAGAGGCTCGCGACTGTCGTCACTTTTCAAACATGTTCATGGGGGGAATTGAAAAGGCTCAAAAACGAAACTTTAGCATCGTCAGCAATATCAACAACATCATCATCATCATTATCATTATTATCAATATTATTATTATTATCATTATTATCATTATTATCATCATCATACGGTGAGAACATCCAGCAGCGTAGCCTGGCGCATGTGTAGAAGTGCAAGAGTAACTACAGCGTAGCATGACGTATGTCTGGAAGCGCAAGAGAATCTACAGCATAGCATGACGCATGTGTAGAAGTGCAAGAGAACCTACAGCGTAGCATGACGTATGTGTGGAAGTGCAAGAGAACCTACAGCAGTGTAGCATGACACATGTGTGGAAGTGCAAGGGCACCTACAGCGTAGCATGACCTATGTGTGAAAGTGCAAGAGAATCTACAGAAGCGTAGCATGACGTATGTGTGGATGTGCATGAAATGCAAGAGAGCGTAAATGACGTTATTATCCCACCCCACCCCACCCCACCACCCCACCACCCCACTATATATGATTAGTGGTTGTAACTATAGGTCTTTTTTGGGTACTCATAATGGCTTAGGAAAGATATATATCTATAGTTACTGAATGTTACTGAGGTTTATAAACCAACTTGTCTATACTTGTATCATAGCTGGGGCACCACCTCGTGTGGGAAATAAATCCCATCCCCCTGTTCATACTGAAGACCCCCATTGTATGGTCCCATACTTAGAATGGATGTTGTTAGGTGCTGCTGATATTTCCTTTGAATCTTTAAATCCCTGGGTGAATGAAGCCTGTCTGATGAATTTAGGGTGGTTGCCCCCAAAATAGGCATGACAATTGCTATTGAAATGGTGAACATCCAAAGTGAACAGCCTGGCCCAGGCATTAAACCATGCTATTCGCCAGTGGGATGCAGGGTATTTGGGTTGTAAGTTGATCAAACCCGGGAAATAATATTGAATCAAACAAACGTGGGGAAATACGGATCACCGAGGATGGGGCATCCCACAATGAGTCTTAAGCGGCGGAAGCTACCCAACGCCTTATCAAATGTCAGTGAGGTGACTATTACAATTTGGAATATGGCTATGAGTCAAAACCCTGGTACCCTACGTACTCGTACCCTAAAATAGCATAGAATAGCTGGTTTATGGATGTTTAGTTCCCCAGTCATATGGTAATTTCATAGGTAACTGGACCCATTCCCAAATGTTGGTATCTTGAAATGGTTCCCTAAAACATCCCAAAACCAGAATCTGAGAAGGATTTATCAGAGTTTTTCATGGGAATAGAATCATGTTGGAATATGTTGGACAGCCAGGCCCTGCGTGATCCATGTCTACTCGGATCAGTGTCTGGGCGTTTCCGCCGGGAACGTGTTTGGAACACATCCAAATGTATGAATGTTATGAAATGTTATGAATCTCTATGGGTGATCTATAGTTGGTCTATAGTTGGAAACTGTTGGAAGTTGGAACACGTTGCACGAGAAGTTTACCTGAATCCTTCGGATCCTTTGGCTTCCAGGGGGTCTGGTGGTTCCTCCAAAACAAAGTGGGGGTTCTGTTGGCCCAGAGGACCAAGGGGAGCAGGGCTTTCCAGTCCGATGTAAGGTGGAATCCGTTGCTATTGAAACTATGAATCCCTCAGCGCAAATTTTGGGAAATCGTTTGGAGAATTCTGCCGGAACCGACGAGGCGACATTACTTTGGGCAATGGATGTTCGAAGTGGTGCAGGAGGCGACAGCACCGAACTTCGAGAACTCGGAGATGGAGGAATGGGTCAAATCATAGCCATGGAAAATGGCCCGTTTCTAGATGGTTTACCTATTAAAAATGGTGATTTTCCATGACTATGTTAAATAACCAGATGTTATTTGGTACAGTGAAGTCAACCTCGTTTTTGTTTTGGGTCAATGCTATTCAATAGCTATGTTCCATGGATTTTCACGGTGAATGAGGGGATGAACTTGAACAAAGTACGGTGATTACCGGTGATTGTTTTCCTGGAAAACACCAGTGGTTGTGGAAGGTGCTACCCTTCTGCGGAACCATGGGTAGCGGTTTCATAAGCATCAACCACAGCAACATAGATCCCCTGGAAATCTCACTTGGCTGGTGATTTTGCTATCAATCAATGGTACTCTTTGGTAGACTATGGTAAACTAATCATAGCTATTGAACATGGATGAAAATGGCAATTGAGAGTTGATGTACCTATTTTAAGAATAGTGCAGTGATGTTCCATTAATATGTTCCAATGTGTTCCAATATGTTCCATACTATTTAATTGTGATTTGCGATTTACCTGTTAATAAATGATGATTTACCTATTAATAAATGGTGATTCACCTATTAATAAGTGGTGTTTGTTTACCAGAGGGTAGCAGTTTGTCTCAGGACTGTCTTTGTGTGAAGCAAATCATCGCAGGTGAAATTGGCTCATCTCAATGTCTTCACAGCAGACGAGGCGTTTTGGCTATTCTCAGCTGGCTGTGGGTTTGTTGGGGGAAGGGATCTACCCTGTTATACCCATGCCCTCTGGTAAACTAACATAGTCACATAGCTATTGAACATGGCCATAGAAATAGTTGATTTACCCATTAAACAATGGTGATTTTCCATCGTTTGTTGTATGTTTACCAGAGGGTAATGGATATGTGTACTATGTTATGCCTGGGATATACCATGTTTTACCTATGTTAATGTTCCTCGAAGAAATCATCGGTGAATCTAGGCGAATCTCTGTGAAATTGCTACCATTGCTACCATTGCTACAATTCCAACCAGTCAGGGGTTTATGAATTGGTTGGGGTACCTTCTTGTTTATCAATAACATGGGGAACAAAACTGTTAATTGAAGGTTATCATTGGTTTATCATGTTTATGAAGGTGCTAACATGATTCTGATACCTTCATATACAGTACCTTCAAGGTAGTACCTTCTTTGTTTCCAGGGTTGGGGTTGGCCCCTGCTAGAGACCCAAAGTGCAGCAAGCTGCACTAGCGCCGGAGCTTTTGGCTGCTTTGTGGTCTTCTTGTTGCTACAGATCTTCAAAGTACACCAAGAAACCTCAACTTGATGAAACTGATATAAAATCTCATATGTCTCATCATTAACATCAATATAGATAGTAGCACCCAAAACCATCATCATACTGAGACTGAAATGGTCATTCAGTATACACATTATATATAATTTAATATAATTTAATATAATATACATATTATATAAATAAATAGTCGTATATCATATACATATCCTACATTTGCTGGCGCCATCTCCACAGCTTCATCCAGCCATCTGAAGCCATGAATCCTGGCACGGCGCTTGTGGTGATCACCGGCTGCTGCTTTGGCGCCTTCATGCGGGCGGCCACCGGATTCGGTGGATCCACGCTGTTGCTGGGATGGAGCTGGGGAAAATCCGCAACAAATCCTGGGAATCCCATGGAAAATCCATGGGGGAATCGGAAATCCATGGAAAATCCATGGAACAGTCTAGCAAAGTGTACTTAACTCCTATATGAAATGCGGATTTACTCTCCAGCTAACATAGTTGAACGAAGGAAGTTTGGAAGTCACACTTCCGACAATATGGACAGATGGAAAAGCAGAGGTGGGAAGAGTCAGAGAGGAGAAGAGCAGAAGAGAGAAGATCAGAGAAGAGAAAGATTGAGAAGAAAGAAGATGCAGGTGCGCGAAAAGGTAGCAAGGTCGCGAAACACTGTGTTTTTCCAATGATTTGTGGCTCCGGAGGGTCGAAATGTAGGCTCGCTAAAGCGGCGGGTGCAGAGCCATTTGGGGAGATAAGAGATGAACAATTGCACGCTATTGTGGCACGAAGATGCACGAAGCACATTTCCAAGTCAAAATGTACCAAACACACCGTCGCCGGAGCACTTTTGGAAGTTGAGATGTTGAAAGGGCGCACGCCGTTGTGTCGCGAAGCACATGTCGAAGTCAAAATGCCAAAACCATGTCAGCTTCGGAGCACTTTTAGGAATTGCGATGTTCAAAAAGTGCACGGCGTTGTGGCACGAAGCGCGTTTGGAAGTGAACATGCTAAAGACACCACATGTTCGCGCCACTTTTGGGCGTTGAAGCGTCGTTTTGTGTGGCAAGCACAGGGGTTTCTGCATCTGAACAAATGAATTGATTGAAGGGAAACCGACAGAAAACTTCCATGATTTTACCGGCCAAAGTTTGGGGGTTCCAAAACACAATCTTGTTTGATCATGTCTGTTAAACTGGGCAATGAGTGAACAAGGGCTAAGTGGATAAAGAGTCCGTGTATGAATGATCTATGTCTCTGGAAAAATTGGTCCTATAAATTGAAAGCCACACACACATTAGGACTAGGGAAGCTGCGTGTCTGACAGGGCGCAGCGATGCTTTTGAGTGGGGCCGCCATGAGCTCTGCGAATCGCATCCTAAAATGCCCGGCGTTTCTGTACGAAACAGTTTGAAACTATGTCCCTTGATAAAGTTGGTGAGTTTATGATATTATATATATATATTTTTTAATTATCTATCTATATATATATAGTATTATAGTCAAGCGCATTCGGATGAAGGCATTTTTTTCAGATCAAACAGCAGAGGCCCGAAGAACAATACTGATATACTCTTGAAATTCACCTTGGAAACATGAAACCAACAAAATCCTTGTGGCTCAGCATGTGCCGGCCCTGCAAACGAAGAGATTTTGCACTGATGCCATGAAAACTCAGAGAGAAGAGGGTCTCCAATTTGGGGGTTTCAATACAGTAATTAACGGTGTTGAAATTTGATCCAGCTAGCAGCTCGCTGCAATTCGGCATTGACCATACTAGGTTGTACTAGGTAAGTCTATTCGATTAGTTTCTTTTTGACCACTGCGAATGTCGTTTTCTTGTGGCACATGAACTTGGAACTCCCCTCAACCCAACCCAGTCTTGGGATGATAGCATTCAAATCGTGTAACTAATTATACCTCCACAATTCTATCCCAAATTTATCCCCAAGAACATATCGGAATGATATCCCTATTGCTTGATATGTGAACCAAGGTTCGGACCCCTGCAAAAAAAAAAAACAAGGTTCGTGTTGACCTACAGCATCTGCAGCCAGTTTCAAGTCGCCCCTGACCTGGAATCGGTGCCACTCGGCGCTGAAAAGGTGCAGGTTGATTTGGAAAATCACAATATTTGATAGGTAAACCGCCCTCCATGAAAGGCCTATCTATATCATAGCTATGTAACAAATAACCAGAGGGTAGATTGATGTTTTCCTTTTTTTGGAGGGAAAACCTAACTCCAAAATAGCTTCTAATGTCTGCCTCTGATTTATAAACCTGGGCCCCCCCCCTCTTTTACCTCAAATTAAGTTAAAAACTTGTTTGTATGTATTGGTTTTCAATTGCCACAATTTTAAACGAATACATAAAATGCAATTTCCAAAAAAAACAGGAATCCAACAATTGTTTTAGTATTGGTTTAGTATTCATCTCATGGATTTAGTATTGATTTAGTATTCATGCCATGGATTTAGTATTGATTTAGTATTCATGTAATGGATTTAGTATTGATCTAGTACTCACCTCATGGATTTAGTATTGATTTAGTATTCATGTCATGGATTTAGTATTGATTTAGTATTGATTTAGTATTCATGTCATGGATTCAGTATTGATCTAGTATTCATATCATGAATTTAGTATTGATTTAGTATTCATGTCATGGATTTAGTATTGATCTCGTATTCATGTCATGGATTTAGTATTGATTTAGTATTGATGTCATGGATCTGGGCAAATCTGGGTTTAGGGCCAAAAACAATTAGCTTTATTCAGGGTCAAACTCTAATTAGTGCCAAGGCACCTCATGGGGGGTACCCTTGACGAGTTGATTTGGGATTGATTTTGGATAATTTTGAATAAAGGTTTTGAATAGAAAAGAGCAACCATTATTTTTTGAAAATTTGAAGTTATCAAGGTAAGATCTAATGAGCTGGCAATATGAATTAGTACATGAAAGCCACCTCAAATAAAGCATGGAAAAAACAAAATCAGCCCCATCTGGGCAAATCTGGGTTTAGGGACAAAAACAATTAGCTTTATTCAGGGCCAAACTCTAATTAGTGCCAAGGCACCTCATGGGGGGTACCCTTGACGAGTTGATTTGGGATTGATTTTGGATAATTTTGAATAAAGGTTTTGAATAGAAAAGAGCAACCATTATTTTTGAAAATTTGAAGTTATCAAGGTAAGATCTAATGAGCTGGCAATATGAATTAGTACATGAAAGCCACCTCAAATAAAGCATGGAAAAAACAAATCAGCCCCATCTGGGCAAATCTGGGTTTAGGGACAAAAAAAATTAGCTTTATTTAGGGGGCATTTATTATTTATTTTGGGAAAATTTAGCTTTATTCAGGGGGCATTTACAAATCATAGGTCAACATTATTTCATGTTTTTTTCTTTTTGGCGGGTTACTATAGGGTCCCATGTAGTTTACATGTCAACATGTCCGCGATTTTCTTGGCAGTTTGGGACCTGTTCTATATACAGTAACGACTTGTGCGGGACACAAAAAACCGGGGAACTAAAAACAATAAAAATGTTTCCTTGTGTCTATATAGATAGATAGATCGATAGATAGACAGATAGATGGATAGATCGATAGATAGTTTCCTTGTGTCTATATAGATAGATCGATAGATAGACAGATAGATGGATAGATCGATAGATAGACAGATAGATCGATAGATAGACAGATAGATCGATAGATAGACAGATAGATAGATAAATTAGATAGGTAGATAGGTAGACAGGTATGTAGATTAGTAGATCAGTAGCTTACATAGATAGATAGATCGATAGATAGATAGATAGATTAGACAGGTAAGACATTTTAGATAGATATATGAGATTGGTTACATAGCTGGGATAGATAGAAAGATAGATCGATAGATAGATAGATAGACAGAAAGAGTAATTGATTGATAGGTTAACTAGATAGATAGATTAATCAAATGGATAGAGTCATTAGATAGATAGCAGACTAATTAGAAAGCAAGGTAGACTAATTTTATAGCAAGATAGGTCGATAGATAGATAGATAGATAGATAGATTGATTGATTGATTGATTGATTCATTTGAAAGATCAGATAGATAAGATAGATAGGATAGATAGGATAGATACGATGGACAGGATAGATAAGATCGATCGGATACATAGGATAGATCGGATAGATAGGATAAATATGATATATAAGATAGATAGGATAGATAGGGTAGGATAGGATTGGGTAGGATAGGATCGGATAGATAGATAGATCGATAGATACGATAGATAGCTAAGATAGAAAGATAAGATAAGAAAAGATAAGATAGATAGATATATAGAGGGGGATAGATAGACAGATATGTAGATTAGTAGGTCAGTATTTTACATAGATAGATCGATAGATAGATAGATAGACAGGTACATACATACATACATACATACATACATAAATACATACATACATACACACACATACATACATACATACATACATACATACATACATACATACATACATACATTACATACATACATACATACATACATACATAGATAGATAGATAGATAGATAGGATAGATAGGATAGATAGGATAATAGATAGGATAGATAGAATAGATAGGATAGATAGGATAGATAGGATAGATAGGATAGATAGGATCACGCCTAGGATCGATCTAGTCTGAACTCGGCTAGATTACACTCGTGATAGACTGGCATAGTCGAGCTAGCATCGGATAGATAGGATGCTATGAAATAGCTCGATAGACTCGGCAAGATAGATAGATAGGACATATCTAAAGGGTAGGAAACGCTAGTAAAACAGCAATAGGCCCGATATTACAGATCTGACCTCTAGTTGCACGATACGCTATATAGCTACACTACTCGTCCTAACTAGGATCCGCCTAACTGCTAGATAGGATAGATAGGATAGATAGGATAGATAGGATAGATAGGATAGATAGGATGGATAGGATAGATAGGATAGATAGGACAGATAGGATGGATAGGATGGATAGGTTGGATAGGTTGGATAGGTTAGATGGGATAGATAGGACGGGATAGGATAGATAGGATAGATAGGATAGATAGGATAGGATACCTAGGATAGGTTAGGATAGGAAGATAGATAGGTAGATAGATAGATATGATTGAAACCACATTTTAAAAAGCCATATGTGAGACCTAGCTTCGTGGTGTTTATACATAAATATACTATGGCTGACTCAGGTTGCTGATGGTTATCTTGGGCACTGTCTTCGAACTGACCACGTCTCCAGTTCTCTTCGCAGCCATTGGAAGGCCATGGCTGAAATCACACTTGTGACGGGGGAAACGTGCTGATTTTCTTTACCAACTTTTGAAACCAAACATTTCCGACCTGAGTCCACTGTATGTTTTCAAGTTGTTTCTGTGGTTTTGAGATTGAATCATGGTTTTGCTGTGTTTTGCTGGCAGGACGAAACTCAATGGATTGGTTTAAAGGAAAAACTTAACCGGAAACCATCGATCTTCCCATGAAATATGGGGTTTTCCAGTAAATTTTCCCTGAAACCATTCCAGTCGCCGCAGGCAGGCGCTGAAGTTCTGGCGGAGTCAAGCGCTGATGTTTGTAGGATGCAGTTCGGCAGCAGGTAAAGACTGGCACGGAGAGAGCAACAACATCCGCATGTAGCACCTAGAGGAGAGAGAGAGAGGGATCAATGGTGTACATGTGTATATGTATATGTCTATGTCTATGTCTATGTCTATGTCTATCTATATGTATGTATATGCATATGCATTTGCATTTGCATATGTATATGCATATGTATATGTATATGTATATTCAAATGTAAATATGTATGACTTAATATGTCATGCATCTACAAAAATTATATTACTACGTTGGCCTTTGGGAGTTTTTGTTTATCCCTTCTGCGGTTTTGTTCCCGTCAATCTGGGTTCTTGGTGCATTTACGATGCTCAGGGCCCATCAGGGCCTATGGTTTGTCTACTCATTGGCTCCTAGATGATGGCTCTCCACAAGCTCCGAAAACCATCATGATGAAAAAATCAAGAATCATAACTGATTGGTGGTTTGGAACATGTTCTTTTCCCATATATTGGGAAGACTCATTCCGAATATTTTTCAGCGGGGTTGAAACCACCAACCAGATAACTTTGAACCTCTTTTTGGTGGTCATTTTGTAGTGAAGAGGCGTCTCAGGCCCTTATTTATACACATTGCAGACTGACGTCCAGCATTTTGTAGTGAGAAATGCAGGGTCCACTACTCAATGGCTGGTTCCAACCCCGCTGCCCTAAATGACAGGGATTGGCATATAAGGAAACAATGAGTAATTCCACAGAGCAAATAATATCCATATTAGCCATTAATGTTGTTTTTCCCCTTCAAAGTATATCGGGCAAACGAGTCCCATCATAGGACTTGCCCGGTAAATCTGTTTACCGCCTGTTGTTCGCAATGTCTTTCAACCAATGGCAACTGGGGTAGCATGACATCTAATGGAGGTATTTAAAACATCAATGACAAGTTAGCCACCTGAATCGATCAAAACAACGAGTCCAACATCAATTTCGCCATGACGGGTACTACGGTTACTACGGGTACTACTTCTTTAGTAGTACTATTGCTAGTGCTAGTATTAGAAATACAATCATTGTTACGTTTCTTTTATATATATATATATATACACTAGTGCTACTAATACTACATCTTCCAAAACTTAATTAATTACTTTTACACCTATCACTGCCTATCACTATATTGATGCTATTGCTACTTCTAGTGTTTTTATTACCACAACTACTATTATCACTACTATTAAATTGCTACTGCTACTGCTATTGCTTACTACTGCTACTGCTGCTACTACTACTCCCCCTACTACTAATCCACTTTGCTGGCTCTGGTCGGCCTGATGATGAAACCGGGCAAAATATGGCAAACCCACTTTTTCTTAGAAACTTTTGCCGCTTCCCTGCGTCCGTTTGACCTGATTAGAACTGATAGTAAGGAATTTACTTGTCCACAAAACCGCCATGATATTTGTGCCCCGCAAACTATTTGAAGTTTCAACATACGCGTTTTAACCCTGATATTTTTCGTTTCCTTTACTTGCTTCAGCCAGACACATATTTGGGTTGAAGGGCCAAAGATGATGCTGCCGCTCATATCCTCCAACCCATCCCATACCCTGGATTCCTTAAGTTTTTTCGCTAGGACCCAAATTCCATGCTAGATTATATATCTATAATATAGAGAGGTATGGCAAGGAGATCAAAGAGATGTGTGTTCATTAAAAGATGACAAAACATTTACAAACATCATGATGTTCAGCGGCGATGTTGGATTGATGTTGGACGTAGTGGGGTCAAAGGTCAGTGACAACTCCATGGGCGGTTTGTTGTCTTTGTCCCCACACTTCATGTTGAATTTATTCAGCATTCATCACTTTAAAAAAATCAAAGGACCATTAAACTTAGGTTCTGCATATTGAGGTGAGAAATGCAGCTGATTTTGTTTTGCCCAACATTTCGGTGTCAGCTTGACAGCTCCTTGAAGGCCCCCCACTGCTGTCAGGTATCCCCGGAACCGTCTTGGGTCTCTATTTGCTGATGCAAAGTACGGCGCCTGGGCTGCGTGTGGCCAATCCAAGAGGGCGATGAATTTCGATGGATGTTCATTGCTGGCATGGTGAGCAGAAAGGCGTTTTATTCTTGCTGTGGCGCACATACGCATATCAAAATATATGTATATATATATTATAATAAATATATATATACCCTAGGGGTCCAACACCACTGAGAACAAAGGGTTTTAGTAGAACCCCCTTTGTTTGCCATGGGGGTCTGGCCCCCAAGGCCAGGTTCCCTGGCACACCGGACTGCATTTTTCACCATCAACCCCGGTTGTTCGCCAAGCGCGCTTCCAAACAGTTGTAGGACCCAAAATCAAACCCAAAGAGTGAAATATTTTAGAATGCTGCCATCACAAAAAAATGGTGGTTCTGCTGCAGAGTTAACTTGCTGTAATTATACAGTAGTACAGTAATAAATTGAACTTACGAATTTTCGAAGCTATTTAATGGCAAGGACTTTCTGATGTATCAGTGGATCAAACAGTTCCTACAATCCAGCGGCGCATGCTCAATGGTGCAACCATCCAAGTATTAATCGTAAATAACAATGACACAAATCGGTGATGGGCCCCCCTTAGCCGTCCACGGTGCATAATCCCGCGGATTAAACGGCTGGGGTGAGCACAAAGGTAAACTCTTTGGCACCAATAGATACTGACTAGATCGACCCACAGACAGTGAGGCTGGGGCCTTGGTAAGCACACCCGCGTATATACATGACAAATGTATTTATATGTCGAAATATTTATGTAGGATTCATCTTTGAATGTGTGCATATATGTATGTCATAGAATGTGTGCATGCGATCATGCGAGCAAAAACCATGAGACGCAATATTAAATACTAGCTAATATCTGATATTAAAAAAACAATTCTATCAACTCATATTTATATATATAAAGCATATTGATTTCCCACACTATGATGGTATTACAATCCTTCCAGATTGTTTTAACTTGCAGCAAATTGTCAATTCCCACCATTGTACAGTAGTTGATGCAAATGGCATAGGCAGTCTAAGAACAGTAAAGAAGCGTGGGCGAGTTACTAGCACTCAGAACGGTATGGTTCACTAACTCGGTGCGAAATCGTACCATAGCTGACTATGTAACAATGATAGGGTACAGTGGGTACAGGGCGTGCAGTAGTTCGACGAACCACAAGAGATACATAGCCGGTGTGTCAATTGTAGATATGTTATGTTGATTAGTTGGCTAAGAACCCTATTGAAATTCCAAAATATTTGCAAATGTGTTCTGTCATTTAACTAATTGGATAATGTTGGGTGTTGATTTATCAAAGGGTGATGATTTAAGAAAAGTTTTCCAAAATTATTCCAGACCCCCCTGGGTTGAAAAGGGTCATGATTAAAGACAAGTTTTTTGGGGGGAGTTATTTTTTTTGGATTTTCTCTTGTCCTTTGCGTTCTTTATCTTTTCCTTGTCCCTTTGAATTCTTTATCTTTTCCTTTTACTTTCTATTGGCCATTTACTAAACTGAGAGCTTCCTGAAATGGCTGGTCCCTTTATTAAACTCCTTTTAAAATATTGAGGTTTGACAATTTTCCAAGAGGGTAGCCCAGGAAGAGCCAGGATGTTGAATAATAGGTTTGTCAAAAGGGTGTTGATTAATGCACAAAACTTTTTGGGGGTGGTCTTGTCTGCTTCTTCCTTTTCTTTTCCCTTTGAGTTCTTTATCTTTTCCTTTTACTTTTCATTGGCCATTTGCTATACTGAGAGCTTTCTCAAATGGTTGATCCCTTTATTAAACTCCTTTTAAGATATTGAGGTTTGACAATTTTCCAAGAGGGTAGCCCAGGAAGAGCCAGGATGTTGAATAATAGGTTTGTCAAAAGGGTGTTGATTAATGCACAAAACTTTTTGGGGGTGGTCTTGTCTGCTTCTTCCTTTTCTTTTCCCTTTGAGTTCTTTATCTTTTCCTTTTACTTTTCATTGGCCATTTGCTATACTGAGAGCTTTCTCAAATGGTTGATCCCTTTATTAAACTCCTTTTAAGATATTGAGGTTTGACAATTTTCCAAGAGGGTAGCCCAGGAAGAGCCAGGATGTTGAATAATATGTTTGTCAAAAGGGCGTTGATTAATGCAAAAAACTTTTTGGGGGTGGTCCTGGCTGCTTCTTCCTTTTCTTTTCCCTTTGAGTTCTTTATCTTTTCCTTTTACTTTCTATTGGCCATTTACTAAACTGAGAGCTTCCTGAAATGGCTGGTCCCTTTATTAAACTCCTTTTAAAATATTGAGGTTTGACAATTTTCCAAGAGGGTAGCCCAGGAAGAGCCAGGATGTTGAATAATAGGTTTGTCAAAAGGGTGTTGATTAATGCACAAAACTTTTTGGGGGTGGTCTTGTCTGCTTCTTCCTTTTCTTTTCCCTTTGAGTTCTTTATCTTTTCCTTTTACTTTTCATTGGCCATTTGCTATACTGAGAGCTTTCTCAAATGGTTGATCCCTTTATTAAACTCCTTTTAAGATATTGAGGTTTGACAATTTTCCAAGAGGGTAGCCCAGGAAGAGCCAGGATGTTGAATAATAGGTTTGTCAAAAGGGTGTTGATTAATGCAAAAAACTTTTTGGGGGTGGTCCTGGCTGCTTCTTCCTTTTCTTTTCCCTTTGAGTTCTTTATCTGTTCCTTTTACTTTCTATTGGTCATTTGCTAAACTGAGAGCTTTCTCAAATGGCTTATCCCTTTATTAAACTCCTTTTAAAGTATCGAGGTTTGACAATTTTCCAAGAGGGTAGCCCTGGAAGAGCCAGGATGTTGAATAATAGGTTTGTTAAAAGGGTGTTGATTAATGCAAAAAACTTTTTGGGGGTGGTCCTGGCTGCGTCTTCCTTTTCTTTACCCTTTGAATTCTTTATCTTTTCCTTTTACTTTTTATTGGCCGTTTGCTAACCTGAGAGCTTTCTCAAATGGCTGATCCCTTTATTAAACTCCTTTTAAACTAGTGAGGTTTGACAATTTTCCAAGAGGGTAGCCCAGGAAGAGCCAGGATGTTGAATAGTAGGTTTGTCAAAAGGGTTTTGGTTAATGCAAAAAACTTTTTGGGGTGATCCTGGCTGCTTCTTCCTTTTCTTTTCCCTTTGAGTTCTTTATCTTTTCCTTTTACTTTCTATTGGTCATTTGCTAAACTGAGAGCTTTCTCAAATGGCTAATCCCTTTATTAAACTCCTTTTAAAGTATTGAGGTTTGACAATTTTTCAAGAGGGTAGCCCAGCCCAGAAAGAGCCAGGATGTTGAATAATAGGTTTGTCAAAAGGGTGTTGATTAATGCAAAAAACTTTTTGGGGGTGGTCCTGGCTGCTTCTTCCTTTCCTTTACCCTTTGAGTTCTTTATCTTTTCCTTTTACTTAGAGAGATCAAAGAAGAGTAGGGAAGAGAAGAGAAGCGTAGAGAAGAGAGATCATTAATTTTCAATTGTTGAGATCACCCATTCCCTCAGGCAAGCCTTTTAAGCAAAGAGTTTATTAATCACGACCCATCATTTGTTTAGGGGGGGAGGGGGGAAGGGGTTATAAATCACGACCCAACATTAAGGAACATAGCAGTGTACAACAGGAACATGCACGGAGACAGTGCTATGTTTAACAGTCGCTCCACAACAGTGCACGCTGCATCCAGCTCTAGGAGGCTTCTAAGCACGGTTCAGCTGCTTCCAAAGCGCGCTCCACCAGAGTATTGTCAGCTATGATCACACTACGCAAGCCAACAAAATAATCTCAAACCTTTTATTAACCAAGACAATGTTACACATACAACAAACACCGTGCATTCACACATCCACCAGATTGTCGCACCCAAAAAACACAAAAGAGACTGGGCCAACCAAAATGTAGAATACCATACTATTTATTCCAAACCCATCTTTTCAAAAAAGTGGAAAATAGGGGTTCCGGGGTTCACGGTTTTTAAAGGGCGTTCACGGTTTTTAAAGGGGGTTCACGCGAGTTTCACGCTAGTTTCACGCTGTTTCACGCTGGTCCGGGCCTGGATTCCAACCAGCCAATCTGAACACTTTTGCAGCACCATTTAAGAGCCAGTGATTAGCAAAGGCCATTCTGAACACATGGCATTACAAGCTCTGGAATTTACGCGTGTGACCCTTCACTGAAAGAACCGTCCAAAAGCAGGTACACTGTGGTTTAATGTCAACCTCCATGCAAAAAAAACCCTAAATAAAGTACGCCAACTTGCCGGAAATTAATAATAACCCCCCCTAAATAAAATACGCCAAAATTTTGGGGATAACCAAATTTAGTGAAAAAATATTCTCAACCCTATCCTGAAAAGGAGACTGAGACAAGAAGCAATGGAATCTTGAAAAAGTTCCCACAACTCAATTGATCAATCCCCTTATTAAAACCCTATCAAAAAAAATAAAAAATCAATCTCACAAAGGGGGTAGCATTGAAGCCTCCAAGCATCTCAATAGATTGTTTGTTTTAACCCCCCTAAATAAAGTATCTCCATCTGATGGTCTCTGAATTTGTTTTAATTATCTTTAACAATTAGGCAATTCATTTAGCAATATTAAACTTACGATCCAGAACCAATGGAATCTGAAAAAGTTCTCACAACTCAATTGACCAATCCCTTTATTAAAACCCTATCAAAAAAATTAAAAAATCCATCTCACAAAGGGGGTAGCCTTGAAGCCTCCAAGCATCTCAATAGATTGTTTGTTTTAACCCCCCTAAATAAAGTATCTCCATCTGATGGTCTCTGAATTTGTTTTAATTATCCTTAACAATTAGGCAATTTATTTAGCAATACTAAACTCACGATCCAGAACCAATGGAATCTGAAAAAGTTCTCACAACTCAATTGACCAATCCCTTTATTAAAACCCTTTCAAAAAATCAAAAAATCGATCTCACAAAGGGTAGCCTTGAAGCCTCCAAGCATCTCAATAGATTATTTGTTTTAACCCCCCTAAATAAAGTATTTGTATCTGATGGTCTCTGAATTTATTTTAATTGTCCTTAACAATTAGGCAATTCATTTAGCAGTAGTCAACTCATGATCCAGATGTTGGATGAATTCTGGTTTTAATTATCCTCAACAATTAGGCAATTCATTTAACAATACTAAACTCATGATCCAGATGTTGGATAAATTCTAGTTTTTATTTTTCCTTAACAATTAGGCAATTCATTTAGCAATAGCAAACTCATGATCCAGATGTTGGATAAATTCTGGTTTTAATTATCCTTAACAATTAGGTCATTCATTTAACAATACTAAACTCATGATCCAGATGTTGGATAAATTCTGGCTTTAACTATCCTTAACAATTAGGCAATTCATTGAACAATACTAAACTCATGATCCAGATGTTGGATGAATTCTGGTTTTATTTTTCCGTAACAATTAGGCAATTCATTTAGCAATAGGCAATAGTAAACTCATGATCCAGATGTTGGATAAATTCTGGTTTTAATTATCCTTAACAGTTAGGTAATTCATTCAGCAATACTGAACTCATGATCCAAATGTTGGATGAATTCTGGTAATATAATTCCTTCACAATTAGGCAATTTATTTAGCAATAATCAATTAGAATCTTGATTTCTTGCTAATTGGTTTTCTTATTCGTCCTTTTAAAACAATCGTAATCCTCCTAAATAATCTTTCACCGTTTATTTCAGTGGGTTTTGATTGTTGGGGTGGGGAGGTGGGGGGGTTTACTATTGGAAGGTTAATATTAGTTCCATTGAAACCCCGTGATAAAATGGTTGACTGATACAGGACAATACGACATCATCAATTTAATGGGGATGTGTTATTGCATGCGCTGCCATGACCCACACTCGGCTCAATATCCCCAACTGCGTAAGGAACAACACCATACAACGCGCTACAGCAAATCCTTTGCCAAGACTTTCATAATCGAATATGGTATTTACCAGATTTACCGTGCATCTGCCACACCGCCACATTCACTTTTGTAGCTGCGAACTAGTGAATGGATCTACTAGGCCTTGGACAAAGACCGTATTTTTTTGTTTGGACATCATCAGGGTTAAAGGTGGGGGCATGAAAAACATGCGAATTTAGTTAGACTTATCGTAGAATCCCTTGCGTAAAAAGAGAAACCGAGAAACCACATTTTACACATGGCCAATGTATGATGTGATGGTCAATTATACTGAATCATACAAATGATATTCCTGAGGAGTCTCTAAGCAATACATTGTTTTCTTTTTTTAATTTCGGATTGCCCAAGAAACACTCATATATATATACAAATATACTATATACACAGTTGTGTATTTGACGAACGTAAATCACAACATCATAGACCCTTGCTGACAAGAAAATCGGTTGCCAGTTTCCAGGAAGCCATTGCCTAGCGCATATGCCAACCGTAAGAATGAGTTCTCAATCTTCTCACAACTGGCTGAATTAATTGGCCGACCGCAAGCAAGCAGGTGAGGCTGGTTGGCACTCAATAAGCAATCTAGGTGAATATTTTCGACACCGTCTATAATTTCTAGCAAACCTAAGACTCAGGCCCCTTACAAGGGGAAGTGCAATTACTTGAGCTGGACATTACACATCAAAAACCAAACAACAAATAGCTGCTACATATCTATGAGCAGAACCACATATCGTGCAAATGGGCCATGCTCAATATAATAAATAAAGTTGCAGGTGTTGAGCCAAGATCTCTTCCTGGTCCATGCCTCGAATCCAAGATCTCTATCGTCGAATCAAAAAGTATTGGTGTTAGCTTTGAGTTGTGCCTGTATTAGTTTCTATTTTTAAATTGTCTTGGAAGGGGCAGCTCCCCAATCATATAATGGAATCATATTGTGGATGGTAATTTACCACATATGATATGGCTGAATGGTTGATAATCTGATGATTCTATCCTACTTATCTTATTACAGACTTTGTGTCAAAACGGTCTGTTCCATATATACTTCCACTCAGTAGTATGTAAATGGTGTTTTTACCAAGAGCTAGGCTTCAAACTGGCAAACAAAGGGGGGTTCACGGCAAACAAAGGTCGACTCCGAACCCCCTTTGTTTTAAAGGTCGAGGACTCCCAGGGTATATATATACATATATTATATATATATATTGTATGACATGTATGCATGTAATTATGTGTATGTGTGCACTGCGGCTTGCACTGAAATTGTTTTGACCTCACGTTAATATGGCACAATTCCCCGATGCAATCTAATCCAGTCCCAACACTTTTTCGGCTATCATCCAAAAGAATAGAGATCAAAAAAGGAACCAATAATAATGTGTGAAAGTGAGCATGGGAACCCATGAAAGTTTAAACAAAGTAGCCGCCAATGCCACGGCACCTTAGAAGAACAGTAGAAATGACGGTTGTCACGTGCCACTTTCCAAAAAGAACAAAAACAAACGAAGGATTGTAATTTGTGGGCATCATTTATACGCCAATTATAATATACATAGTTTGTAGCCCTTTTTTGGAGTGGTTCTTGCTGCACTTTGCGATGTCATGATCCATTTTCATTTCTTGGTACATTCGTAGAGCATCAATCGCGCTAGTTTCGCATTTGTGAGTTGGCAATCAGTTTGTCCCTTTTAATCTCATTGCTGAAGATGTGTTTTGTTTTCCCAATGGGTTATGTTTTTTTGGGGGGGAGGGGAGGTATATATCTACTGTGTGTTATTTTTGGCCCCCCTTAAGCAAACCGAAGTTGCGTTTGATGGTTCCCGGCTGGCTCCTGGGCTTGTGGGCCGCTGAGGAGAACACAGAGATCTTAGAGAACACCAAGATTGTGCTGAACGCAATTTTCTACATTGCCCCTGGTCATTGACTTGAAGTCATGATGGAATTTGATCAGTTTAATCTATTCTACTATAGAGTCACCCCAAACAAGATGGAAACAGAAATGTGTCACTGTTTTATCATATATGAGAGTTTACTTTTCTTTTTTGTTGCTATGGCTATAGCATTAGAATTAGAACATGATTTACAAAATACGGCAGGTTCCCTGTTGTTTTCCGTGACTTTCCCTTCAACAGCAACTTCTTTGTATCGTCCTGATTTAGCTAAAGGCTATGGGGTTTGCTGTCAGTTGCCGCAATGGCAGTATCTCAATGTGGGAATCGAGTAAAAAGGCAAAACCCACTTACCCCCACGAGCATCGCAAGACTTCTAAGATTCTACTGACGCATGCGTACGTCATATCACGAAATTAAAAATCAAACGCATAATACCCGGTAATTTAATGTAGCTTATGAAAAACTATATGTTCGTAATTCATATTTCATCATTAAAACACGGACCATTTAACAAATGAGGTGCATCCCATTAAATCAGATGAAATGATCAATTTTTTTTACATAGCAAATTCCCATTCCATCTGATTAATTCATAGCCTAATCTTCCCCAGACGCAGCCGCAGCACAAGGTGGCTATGTACCGTTTGACCATGGAGCTGGGGCTCGATACAGAGATCCCGGAGCGGCTTTTTTTTAAAGGGCCATCCAGGGGCCGTGAAGGTTCGATTGGTGGAAGATCACCCATTTTGTCGGTGACATTTCTTTGGATGATGAAATTTTGTAGGTTGATTAAAGAGATCCTGGATAAAACTGTGATTTTGTAGCCCAGTTGTTGATGAAAAGCCATGTAAATCTGCTGATTTTTCTAGGCAAATACAAATGATTCCGCGGCCTTTCGCCACAACCAATGGATCCAAACAATTCAAAAGGAATTTCAGGATTCTAAAACGGATGGTTTTTGGTACCATATAAGGCCATATAAGTAAGGGGTATTCCCTTAGGCCTTTCATAGATCAGACCCTCAGATTTAGATAACAGAGAAAAAAATGATACCAGTAATCAAAGCTGTCATTTTTCCATTACCCTCTGGTAATTTAACGTAGCTATGGAAAATCACCATTTTTGATGGGAAAACTCACTATAAATGGCCATTTTCAATAGCTATGTTAGTTTACCAGAGGGTAGATGATTTTCCCAGATTCCCTCCATTTCGTTGATCTCCCATTGTTTTTTTGGTCCGCCAGGAGGCGCAGGAGCTGCCCGACAAGGAGCTCAGTCGCAAGCATTGCTGGGAGTTTCTGTTGGTCAGCTGCGGCAGTGGCTTCCTCAACGGACTGCTTGGCTTGCCTGGGCCACCGTAGCCTGGCGGGTCATGAAGCTTACAATTTGGGTGAAACTCCGGGAATGTGGAAGAATGCCCCAACTAAAAAAATAAAAACATCCAATTACATCAATTACCATGTAGGCATGGTTGTTGCCAAGCATGGATGGAAAGATTGGGGCTGGTTTCGAATTGGGCTTACCACTGCCAAACCTTTGGCAAGCCCGCGGGTTTTGACAAGAGGATGAAGGATGGCCTGACCACATCTGACGACGGAACTTGAGGAAATTTTGATATGGGCTATGAACGATATCCCACCATAGGACCATAGGATATGTTAAAAATAATTTTGCTTGCATGCTATTTTATCAATTTTATCTATTTGTCTATGTAAAGTACGTATCTATCTACCTACTTGACATATTTTGTTTGTTTTATTTTTTCTCATTTGATCTGATCTGATCCGATCTCATCCCGCATCCGTGGATCTATCCGATTATATAAACAGATTTGCACATATCTGCCTATATCTGCAATCCATGCCACCTGAGGCTGATGGTGTATGTTGCCTCCGTCGTGGGTGCGGGCCGCATCAACACCAAGACTTGCTTCATTCTAAGTCAAAGCTTCTTTCTAGTGTCTTGGATCGGATTCTTCGGGGGCACCCATGGGTTTGTTTTCGGGGAATCATCGTGGTACATCTAAAGAGCTGGAAAGGCCAAACTGGACGGGTTGTTTCGTACTCTTCTTCTCCTTCTTGTAGTAGCAGTAGTAGTAGTAGTAGTACTACTACTACTACTACTAGTCGTAGTACTAGTAGTACTACTAGTAGTAGTGGTAGCAGTAGTAGTAGCAGTAGTAGTAGCAGTAGCAGTAGCAGTAGCAGTAGCAGTAGCAGTAGCAGTAGCAGTAGTAGTAGTAGTTGTTGTTGTTGTAGTAGTTGTAGTAGTTGTAGTAGTTGTAGTAGTTGTAGTAGTTGTAGTAGTTCTTGTTGGTTGTGGCTGTGGCTGTCGCTGTGGCTGTGGTTGTGGTTGTTGTGGTTGTGGTTGTGGTTGTTGTTGTTGTTGTTGTTGTTGCTGTTGCTGTTGCTGTTGCTGCTGTTGGTGTTGGTGTTGTTCTTGTTGTTGCTGTTGTTGTTGTCACTGTTGCTGCTGCTGCTGGTTGTTGTTGCTGTTGCTGCTGCTGGTTGTTGTTGTTGTTGTTGTTGTTGTTGTTGTTGTTGTTGTTGTTGTTGTTGTTGTTGTTGTTGTTGCTTTTGCTTTTGCTGTTGCCGTTGCTGTTGCTGCTGTTGGTGTTGGTGTTGTTGTTGTTGTTGTGGTTGTTGGTTGTTGGTTGTTGGTTGTTGGTTGTTGGTTGTTGGTTGTTGGTTGTTGGTTGTTGGTTGTTGGTTGTTGGTTGTTGGTTGTTGGTTGTTGGTTGTTGGTTGTTGGTTGTTGGTTGTTGGTTGTTGGTTGTTGGTGGTGTTGTTGTTGTTGTTGTTGTTGTTGTTGTTGTTGTTGTTGTTGTTGTTGTTGTTGTTGTTGTTGTTGTTGTGTGTTGTTGTGTGTTGTTGTTGTGTTGGTGTGTTGTTGTGTTGTTGTGTTGTTG